TGAATCTCCTCGCTGCTGTCTGCTGGACACTGCCTTTTGCCCGGGTTGTTGGTGTTGACAGTGCAGCAAAACCCGCGGCTGCAGATGGCCTGTTGCAATGGAAGGGGTCGGTTGTGCCTGAGCAGGCTGCAGGGTGAGAGTCGCCCTTGCTCCCCGGCCGGCGCGGCGCAGCCTGGCGCGGGCGCTCCCTGCGTCCCGTGTCCCCTGCTGCTGCCCGCAGCTCGTGCTCCAGGGATGAGGAGCTGGCGGCCGCCCGAGCTGCATCCCGCAGCCGGAGGCTCGGGCTGGCGCGAGCCCACGGGGACGGATGGGCCGTTTCGGGGGCTCTTGGAGGGATGTGCAGGGCTATGGCCCGCGGTTGTGCTCGCATCCACGGCTCTGCGGCATTCCCGGGACGAGGAGCCTGGCCGCCACGCGGGCCACGGGAGCAGAGCCCCCAGTCCTCACCGCCCTGGTGCCTCCTCGTGCGAGTGCAGGGAAATGCTGCTCCCCCGTCCGCCAGCACCATCCCGGCTCGGGCGGCTTTGGCAGAGAGGCTCCTGTGCTGTGCTGGACGTCCGGGTAAGGAACCGCTGCCGGCGTGGCGCTGCTTGGAGATAAAGAGAGGAAAGCTTCCAGCAAGCCACTTGTTCAGTTCCTCACAAGCAGCATCCAGCCGGTTCTCTCTAGGAAGGGAACGACAGGCAGCTATGAGCTTAGCACGCAGCTTTCAGGCTGCTCCAGGAGCTCGCGGCTCCTAATGCGGTGCGTACGAGACTTCCCGGGTCTCTTCTGCCGGGGCGCGGGGCAGCGCTGAGGCCTGAAGTGCTTTGCTCTCGTCACACCCAGAGGCAGGAGAGACAGAACCCAGGAGGTCTCGTGGGAGCCGAGTGCTGCTCGCTCCTGGGAAGGGGCACGCACGCGCTGAAGGGCACTCGGAGCATCCTTCCCTTCCCTGGCAGCTCGCTTGAAGTATCACAATTAAGATCTAAATGTGGGTTCATCCTTCCAGTTATTTTCCCTTCTCAAGGCCAGTCTATTCTGTGTCTGCAGAACTGACCCAAATCTGTCCCCATTTTCTAACGGAAAGTGGTAAATCTCTATTAAAAACTCCTGGAAATTTCCATCTGCACTCAAGCATTGCTGTAGCAATTTCAAGTAAAAGTATTATGCAATAGGATCCCTGAATGTGCAGAGGTCAGTAAACCTGTGTTACTGCTACTAGTTGCAAATAATTCTGCAAGTTCTCATTCAACAACAATTGTGTAACCATTGGACTATCAGTCGCTAACATAAATACTATAAAGATAAGGCAGTGTCAAATTAATTGCCTTTACCTTCTTTATTGCTCTGTAAGACAGAGGTGCACGTGGATGCTGATGGTGACAGGGTCTGTCTTTGTAGCATAGCGTCATGCAGCACCTAAAATGTGCCAACTTTGCTGGTAGCTTTTAAAGATATCCAGTCTGAAAGGTGTTTGCCATAAAATATACTCGTTCTGATCCCATGAAGACACTCTGCATATACTTAATTCCTGCAGTTAGGCATTGTTCAGTGTCAGCAGCATGTTCTGACCCACCTGGTTAACTGTTTACTGAGTTTAGGTGTCGTATTTGCTATAGAAAACCAAAAAGGAGGCTGGGATCTGCGTGACAGAGCCAGGAGAGGCAGAATGAAGCGAATTCCAGGAGACACTGGAGTAAATAAGGGTATTCAGACCCCCTCTGCCCAGGTGGATGGATATCAGAAGACACGTCTCCCTATTTCCTAAAGCATTTTTTCTGAGCTGTTGCTTGTTGTGTACTACTGCCTTCACTAAATGACAGTTGCTGTTGTCATTTATTTGACAAATCCACATTATCAGTGCAAGCACAAACAAAGACAAAAATAAATGTCTGCTAATACGAGCAGATTTATGTGTTCTCGTCCCCACGCCTTTTCCCCACGGGTGTCGTGGTGCGCAGCTGACGGCGAACCTGGCTGCCGAGCAGGTCGGCTGCCAAGTCCTTGATGTCCTCTGCAGGGCAGGGGGTGCAGGGCCCCGGGGGGACAAAGGGTGCCATGGAAAGGGTCGTTTGCTTTGCTTCTTTGTGCCATCCCTGAACAAAAGCCAAGTGCTGGAGCGGCTTCCCCTGGGAATCAGCTTAGGAGTCAGGTTAAGACGTAATTTAATTTGGAGGTCTGCAGGAAGGGAGGAAAACGTGCAGAAGAAACGCACGAGGCTCAACAGTTGCAAGGCCTTGCAAATGAGAGCTCAGGTTAAATCCAAGAGCAATGCAGGAGCGCAGAGGCCGGGGCCACTCCAGCTCCGCAGGCAGATTTTGCAGCTCCCTCGTGCTTTGTGTGTCACCCGGCTTCTCTTTTGCTTAACCGACCTGCTTGCAAATGCTTATGCAGGTGCCACAACAGGTCTAGCAGGACAATTTCATCCAGTTATAGATATTTTGGTCAAAACCCCTTCTATTGTGAGAGTTCATTCGCTGCCGTGAACTGCAGCTTGCAGGTAGGTCCAGGCGATGCAGAACGGGCTCAATATCATGAATCCCTCCTGTACCGCTGCGGACCTCAGATTTGTGCCTTTGCCCTGGTCCCCCTGCCCAGGGCTTGGTCTTCCTGACGCCGCTGCAGGATCCTGGGCGCCTTGGTCCTTTGCTCCGCTCTGGCTCTTCCCTGGAGAACAGCCGCAAGCGGTGTTGAATTCCCGTGGTGTGTTGAACTCCTGCGTTTGCTGCCGGTTCCCTCCGCCCTGGTCCCTGCCCTGCCACGCGCCGTCAGGGCTGCTCGGTGACGAGGCAGGGCATGGGGTGGCCTTGCGCGCCCCACGTGCCGCGAGGGCCACGGGTGGGTCACGAGCTGCAGGGCAGCCGCGAGGCGCAGCTGGCAGCGGCCACTGCAAAGCGTGTCACGACTTTATTGGTTTATGTTTGTTGCTGTTTTCCAGGCCAGCGGGATGGCGCAAGCAGAGCCACGGAGGCGGCGGCGTTGAGGCGGGGTCCCCGGGGCCCCGGCAGGACACGCGGGACTGTCCCCTGCCCCACGGCCGCTCTGCCCCGAGCAGGACGCTGACCGTGTCACCCGTGCGGGGGTTTCAGCCTCGCAGCTTCTCGCGGTGTGGAAGTGCCGCACGGCAGGTGTCAGATGTCCGGACAGTTGTGACCAGCGTTTTGTGCAGAGCTGCCTGGGTGGAATATGTGCTAATGGGAGGAAAGTTCCTCTGTTTGGCTCTTCTGCTTAGCTCTGCTCCGGTCCCTGCCCTGGAATGACGGTTCCGCTGGAGAGCAATTCCTCTGGGATGCTTGCACAGACACCCCTGCTCCAAACAGGAGCGGGGAACATTCAAAAGCCAGGAGCACCAAGTTAATCCCCACTTCAGGGTTGGGACGCTCCAGTGCTCCGGAGCCATTGCTCCCCTGGGAAAAGCCTGCAGGAGCCGCACGTCCAGACCGCGAGGGACAATCGCATCTGGTCCCTTTTGCTCAAGTTCATCCCGCTCTTAGTAAATCTCCCACATGGCTGTGACGGGGCCAGGGTGGCAGCGGAGACCTGCCCGAGGTCCCCGTGCTGGCGGGACCACGGAGCTCCTCGTCTTGCAGCCCCGGGCGGGCGGCAGGGAAGCTGCTGGGCAGAACCTGCTGCCGACCCTCCTCTCCGTGGAAGCCGAGATCCTGCGCGGGGAGACGCAGGGACAGAGGCTCCAGTAAAGGTGCCTGATCCGGGATTCCCTCCGCGCTCCGGCCGACCCTCCTCTGGCACCAGGCCAGCAACAGGCAAGTGGAAATTTCCTTCCCATCCCCGGTGTCTTGTGAAAACATCATAAAAAGCCTGTGGCGTTCTTTACCCTTAGTTAAAGGAGAGAAAAAAAAGCCTATAACCCGAATCCTTAATTACCCATTACAAACATGAAGCGTTGCAAACGATTGCTCAAGGAGGTGAAATGCCACGGCGCTCGTCTCCCGGCGCATCCCCGTGTGCATCCCGGGCACATTCCTGCCTCTTGGTGCAAGCGCGGCCGTGCGCGCGGGGCCCACGGGGACCCACGAGGACCCAGGCCACCCTGGTCACCGCGGTGGCTCCCACTTCCCATGTCCCCAACATCCCCTGCCATCCTGCCATGTCCCCACGTCTCTACTGAGCCCTGGGCCGGGCTCTCCTGGTCCTCCCTCCTCCAGGACGGGCTGCTGTGGACAGCCTGTGCAGAGGTTCCTTAGTGGGGTTGGTTTTTGTTTATCTATTTGTCTACTGATCTATTTACCTATTTATCTATTTATCTACTGATCTATTTATCTATTTCTCGTTACTCTTGCTCTCAGTGCTGCCAGCAGGTCCCTGCGCTCCCTTGCCAACAATCTGCTAGCTGAAAACCTGCTCGGGGGCCGTGGTCCCTGGCCAGGAGAAGCCATCTGGCCCGGCCCCGGGGCGCGGGTTGGGGCTGAGCTTGAGGGCACCGGCTCCGCTCCGCGGTTCCACCGCGTGTCCCCTGTCCCTGGAGGCCGACAACTGCCTTCCTGCCCTCCCCATTGCCTCGGGCACCGCGCGGGTCCGTGTGCGGCTGGGAAAGGGGCTGCTGCTTCCCATGCCTCCGGCTCACACTGCGAGGGAATCCCATCCCATCCCCAGCGCTGGCAGAAATCCCTCAGCCAAAAAAAAAAAAAAAAAAAAAAAAAAATCCATGGAAAAACCAGAACCTTGAACCAGAGACGCGTGGAGATAAGGGCGGTTATATTCCGGGGGCTGGCCCATGGCACTTTATTGCCTTTTCTCTTTTCCTTTTTTTTTCCTGCCCCCTTGGAACCTCCTGCCCACTGCCATTCCCACACATAGCATTCCGGGCTTTGGACGGGATAAGCCAGCACTCCCGCTCACTCGCAGCCAGCCGGGCTGGCGCCGGGAGCTACCGAGCGCACGGAGGGTGAGTGTCCCGGGGGGAGCCCAGGGATCTCCTTCCTTGCGGAGCACGAGGAGAGACCTTCCCAGCGCCGGCTGCAGCCCCCGGTGCCCTGCGCTTCCTTGCAGCCGCCCGCATGGATCCCGAGGGCGCCCCGGCCGCCAAGGGGCTGCAGGTGCTGGAGGCGCCGGAGCAGCGGCGGCCGCGGGCGCCCTGGTTCGAGCGGCACGTGCAGCCGTGCGTGGCCGAGCTGCTGGGCAGCGCGCTCTTCATCTTCATCGGCTGCGCCTCCGTCGTCGAGAGCGCGGAGGGCGCGGGGCGGCTGGCGCCCGCGCTGGCGCACGGGCTGGCGCTGGCGCTCAACATCGCCGTGCTGGGCGCCATCAGGTGAGCGGCGCTGCGCGGAGCGAGCGGCCCGAGCGGCACCGAGGCCTCGCCGTGGGAAGCGGAGGGTTTCCCTCACCCAAGGGTGCTGCAGAGAGGGGCTTCGTCCCGGGAAGGGCTCCCCGGGTGGAGAGTTTGGCTTCTCTTTGCAGCCAGTTCCCAGCTCCAAAGCAGTGCTCAGGCAGACCCGTGTCCCAAAGCGCCGTTTGGCTCCAATGAAGATGTCACCGTCCCCAGGCAGGGATGCTGGAACAGCCCTGGGGAGCTTCTCTTCCCTCTCCGAGTGCCTCCCGCTCAGATCCCGCGGCTCGGGCAGGGAATGCGTCTCGGAGCTCCGACCTTTCCTGGGAGCCCGCAGCCCCGTCCCCAGTGGAGAGGTCCACAGAGCTGCACGGCCCCATCCTCGCTCTGCCTTTAATTACAGCTGGGGAGCTAAGCTATAATTAGAGCTCCTGGACACGCTGACTCATCAGCTCCAACAGCAATTGTTATTAGGACTGATTGGTTATGAAACTTATTCATTAACGAAGGTCCCGTGGCAATCTGCTTTAATTGAAGGGACCTGGGCTTGTCCTGCGTGCGCCCCTGCGCACGGCGCCTCGGTCCGGCCGCTGGGCTGGAGCCGCGAGCACCGGGCACCGCGTGGGCCCCTCCGCTCCGGCCTCCCAGAAGGGCTCGGAGCGGATCCAGAGGGAGAGGCGGATGGGAGACCTCGGGGCATCCAGGCTTCCCCTCTGGATCGCTCTGGCTCTGGGAACCAGAGCCGGGAAGGGCGCGGCTCTTCTCCCGTTCACCCCGTTCCCTGCACGGTTGCTCGCGGGGCTCCTGTGAACGCTGCGGGATGCGCTGGTGCCGTGAGCCCCGGTGCCGTGAGCAGGCGCTGCTGCAGCGCCGGAGCTGCTGACGCTCCCGTCCTGTCCCACGCAGCGGAGGCCACTTCAACCCCGCCGTGTCCCTGGGCGCCTGGCTCGTCGGCGGCCTCAGCCTGCCCATGTTGCTGCCCTACTGGGTGTCCCAGCTCTGCGGCGGCGTCATCGGTGCCGCGCTGGCCAAGGTAGGAGCTCGCGGCGCGGGGGGCGCTGCCGGCGCGGGGCGCGCAGGGCAATGCACCGTGCTGAGCATTGCTGTGAAACGGGGGCTCCGAGCTGAGCGGGCCCCGTTCACGAGTCTGGGGCACTGGCCATCAGCAGCACATGCACTGCAAGCATGCGTGCTGCAAGCACATGCACTGCAATGGTGCATGCTCAATGCATGTGCTCTGGGAGCAGCCCAGAGCGGTCCCTGCCAGGCGCAGCAGCCGCTCCAGCTCCCCGCGGGCTCGCGGTGCCGCCAGCCGTGCTGTCCTGCTGCGCATGCAGCGCTGTGAGGGGCGGCTGGTGCAGGCTCCGCTCGCCCACAGGCAACCACGGCCGGCGAGCGCTTCGCCAACGCCAGCGGAGGAGCCTTCAGCACCATCGGCTCCGACGGGCAGGTGCCGGCGGCGCTGGGCGCCGAGGTGGTGCTCAGCGCGCTGCTCGTGCTCACCGTCTGCATGGGCGCCCTCAACGAGCGCACCCGCACACCGCTGGCGCCCTTCTGCATCGGCTTCGCCGTCACCGCCGGCATCCTGGCAGGGTGAGGGCCGGGGGCGCCGCGCTCCCCGTGGGACCCCAGCGAGCAGCAGCGGCTCCTCGCGGGCGGCCCAACCGTGAGCCCACGGGTGCTTCCGAACGGCACCACATGCTGCTGCGAGCCCATAACGAGTGCGCAATTAGAGAGGTTATTGGCTTGTTTAGCGAGGGCGGCACTCCCTCCAGCTGGGCACAGAGCCCGCGCCAGCCCTGACCCGCTGCTCTGCCCCTGCCCTGCGCGCTGGGCGAGCTGCACCAGGCCAGGTTGTGCCCACCACGCTGCATCACACTGTGCTGCACGGCACTGCTTGCACCCTGCTGCACAGCACCAGCTGCACCGTGATGTGCCCTGCTGCGTAAGGCCACACTGCAGCGAGTTGCATGGCATCGTGTCCCTCTACATCACTCCCCGCTGCATCACTGCCCTCTGCATCACTCCCACGGTCTCTTCCAGCGGTGCTGTGTCCGGAGCCTGCATGAATCCAGCCAGAGCCTTCGGGCCGGCACTCGTGGCCAATCACTGGGACTATCACTGGGTTTACTGGGTCGGGCCCATGCTGGGCGGCCTCATCGTGGGCGCCCTGATCAGGTAGGTGCCAGCACTGCCGTTTCCACTGGCTCCGTTGGGCTTGGCCTCACCAGTTGCTCCATTTCTGTGTCATGTGGGAAATGGGGGCAGTTACTGGATTTCCAGAGAGCTGGTGAAGGAGCAGGAGGCGGCAGCAGCGCGAGGCTGCCTTGGATGCAGCGCGCTTCCCTGCTCGCTGTGCTCTTGCAGTGCAAAGCTGGGACGGGCTGCAGCGGGGTGGTTGTGTGCTCAGTATACGCTCCGTGCATGCTTGCTGTGTGCTTGGTGCACACTCTGTGCATGCTCAGGGCATGCTTGGTGCACACCTGCACACCTGCAGGAACCGCAGCACCGATCCCATCTCCTCTCCTCCCTCCCCAGGCTCCTGCTGGGCGACCAGAAAACCCGTCTGCTGCTGCGGTGAGCGGGGCCCTGCCGCCCGCTCCCACCCTGCGCCTGCCAGGGCTGCTCCGGCGGTGCCCTCGGCTCTGTCCCGGCTGCAGGTGCCGTCGGGGGCTGCTCGTGGCCCAGCCTGGCACGCGGGGCAGGACCCTGCACCGCAGACCCCACATGGACCCTGCACTGCAGACCCCTCTCCAGCTCCCGCCCGGCTGCTCTGCAGCTCCTGCCCTTCCCGGGCGGCCCAGGCTGCTCCGGGTGGAGCAAAGCTGTGCCCGGGGCCACCCCGCGCTGCATCGTGACAGCACCACCCAGCTCCTGTCACCGCCGGGACTGCAAACCGGGGCTCTGCGGCTTGGGGGCTCGGAGCACATCGGGAGCGCAGAGCGCGTTGGGATTTCAGAGCACGCCGCCGGAGCGCCCCTGCCCTTGGCTGGGTGCCGTGGATGTGGCTGAGCATTCGGGAAGGGACGGACTGCGCCTGGGAGCAGAGTGGGGAGGGGAGCTGGGCCGAGGATGAGGATGGAGGGGCCATGACTGGGATGCAGCTGGGATGTGGCCAGGATGCAGCCAGGATGCGGCTGGGATGTGCCCAGGATGCAGCTGGGATGCAGCTGGGGTGTGCCCGGGATGCGGACGAGGCGGCTGCACCTGCATCCCAGTGATGCCGATGCCGGGGGGAGCCGGGCGTGGAGCAGCCCCCTCGTCCCGGCCCTGTGAGTGCCGCCCCATGTTGCACATTCGTTTCTAATCCATCCGGGTGCCTTTTAATAAAGCATCTGTAAAACTGTGTTGTTTTTCCCCGAGTGTTATTGAAGAGCTTAATTTATGCTAATTAAATACCAATTAACTTCCAAGCACTTAACGTGCTTTAAGGACATCAAACACGGCTTGTTCCCACGCAGCTAGAGGTGCCCCCAGGCTGGCCGAGCGCGAGCCAGGCTGGCGCGGGAGCCCATGGATCGGGAGCGCCGGGCTGGAGGGGGAGCGCGTGGATCGGGAGCGCGTGGAGGAGGAGCACATGGAGCGGGAGCACCGGGCTGGAACCGGCTCGCTCGGCTCCGTGTCCTGCGGGGGCTGCAGCGTTGTGGGCACCGGGCTCGGACGTTGGCAAGCGGTGATGGAGCAGCTGGGCTCCCTCCTGGGATGCGCGGGAGCAGCTGGGATCATCAGCACATGCGGACGGCACCAGCATGTGGGAATGTGCACGGGAACAGGCTGCCCGCTCCCGGCTCCATCACTGCCCTCTGGAGATGAGAGAGGCGGCAGGTTGGTCCCCATGGAGCCTCCGGGATGGGAGCTCCTTTCCAGGGGCTCGTTTCCACGGCCATGCAGCCCCTCCCATTGTATCCCACCCCATCCCATCGCTTTATATCCCAACCCATCCTGTCCCATCCCGTTTCATCGCAGGCCTCGGTGCTGCAGCCGGCCTCGCCGAGCGGCTCCGGCACTGCCAGCAGCCAGGCGGCTGCGCAATAAATAGCCATTTTAATTACCGCACAATATTTACGAGATTGCTTCCTCGTCTGGGAAATTAAAACAAATGCTCTGGCAGAAGGGCCCGGCGCTGCCGAGGGAGGCGCGGGGACGCGCTGCGTGCGCAAGGAGCCGCAGCCGCCCTGGGAAGGGGCACCCCGAGGTGCTGCTCGCCCATCCCGGCCCGGGGGTGCTCGCGGGCTGCGCACGGGGGCCGTGGGCTGCGCCGGGCAGGGCGGTGATGGGGCCCGGGCAGCCCCAGGGCAGCGGGGCCGGGGGGCCGGGACACGGCCCCGGGCTGCGCGGGGGCTCCAGGGCTGCCGAGGCGGCCGTGCCCGTGCAGAGCAGCGCGAGTCCGCGGAGACACCGGATGCCAGGGCCCTTCCGAGCGGGAGGAGCGTCCCGCGGGACGTCTGGGTGCTGCACCCGCGCCCTTCCCATCCCCCGCCCGCCACCTTCATTAATCTCTTTCCCTCTTTCTTCCCGTTTTGCCGGCTGCTGTCGCCATGGCGATGGTGAGATCAGGAGCCGGGGCGGAGCGTGGCGACATTGATGCGCGCAGCACCGGGCCCTTTATGTAACGGGGACGGATGTCCCTTGGGCTGTGGCACACGGGGCACTGGGGCTCTGGGCTCACCTGGGCACCTGCCCTTGGCACCGCGGCCATGCAGGGCACCAGGTCCCTTCGCCCCTCCTCATTCACTTGCCTGCAGCTGCAGGGGCTCACGTGGCAGCTACAGGGATGCTCACTGCACCCCCAGAGATGCAGGGGTGTGCACTGCATCCCCAGGGCTGCAGGGAGGTGCACTGCATCCCCAGGGTTGTGGGTCTTGCAGGGCCATGGAGAAGTTCATTGCACCTCCTGGGATGCACGCTGCACCCGTGGGGGTGCACATTGCATCTGCTGGGCCAGATCTGCAGGGGTGCCCATTGCACCTATAGGGCCACATGGGCGAATGTTGCCCCTGTCAGGGTGTGCTTTGCACCCACAGAGCTGCAGGGGTGCACATGGCCCTGGGGCACATTGCATCTGCCAGGCCACAGGGGATGCACATGAAACCTGTGGGGTTGCAGGGGAGTGGGTTGCACCCACAGGGATGCAGGGATGCCCATTGCCTCGTGCAGGATTGCAGGGGAGCGGGTTGCACCCACCGGGGTGCAGGGGTGCAGGGGTGCAGGGATGCCCATTGCCCCGTGTGGGGTTCACTGAGCCCCGCAGGTCCGTGACAGGAGGAGATTCTCCCGTGGGTCTATGAAGGGCAGAAGTGTCGAGGGCAGAAGTCGTGGGGCTGCAGCCCCGCCGCGGCTCCCAGTGCCGGACCTCGCTCTACGGTCGCTGGCTCCAGCCGCCCGCCCCGCTTCCCAATCCCGGCGGGAAGGAGCAGCTGGAGCCGTGTGGGAAGGATGTCAGGAGCAATCCACGGCTTCCTGCCCACGGCAGCCGTGCACAGAGCCGGGAGCGCCCGGAGACGAGGAGCCGCTGCATCCCAGCACCGTGGTCAGGACAGGGGGAAAACCTCATCCTGGCGCTTCCGCTTTGGAAGTTCTTCCAATCTCTAACCTGCTGAAGCACCAAATACTTCTGGGGGGTTTTGTTTTCAGCATTTTTTGGTGAAATATTTTCAAATATCTCTGGCACGTCCTTGGCCTGTAGGTTGCTCTCTGTTTTCCAAGGATTTTCATTGTCTTTCCCTCCCTGGCTCTGGTCCTGAGAGCTCCTATAGCCATGTGCATCCCACCAGCTCTGTGCACTTCCCCCACAATCAACTCCAGGGAAAAACAGCATGTGAGGAAAGGCAGACCCATCCTGTGCCAAGGAAAATCCCAGCTTTATCCGGAGCTCGTTTCCCCTGGGAAGCGAGCGGAGCAGCTGGGAAGCACTGGGCTGCAGCGTTGCTGGTGCTGGAGGCTGCTGGAGGCTGCACTGCCCCGGCCCGGAGGGATCGGCTCTGCGCCCAGCACAGAGCCCGAGCTGCTGCCGGACTTGGGGCTGCACAAGCAGCCTGATGAGGACGCGTTGGGGAACTGGCTGCAGAATCCCAGGATTTCAGGGCCATCTTTGCCCTGTCACTGTGCAGGTGGCATTGCTCCACAGATCCCAGATGGCATTGCTCCATGAATCCCAGGCCGCATTGCTCCATGGATCCCGGGCAGTGTTGCTCCGTGTTCCCAGGCAGCACATCCCAGCCATCTCCCAGTTGTGCAGCTGAGCCTGGCCCAGCCACGAGCCACAGCCAGGCTCATCCAGCCCCATTTCCACAGGTCGCTTCCCTACCGGAGAGGCCTCCGTGCTGCAAGGCGCCGCCACGTCCACCTGGGTCCAGGGCGCAGGTGACCCCAGCGGACCTGGATTCCAGCTCCCAGGACCCCCCCCAATCCTGCCTGCAATATAGTGTGGGCCAAATCGTGAGAGTGATAAAACAACGGGGGGGTTGGACCCGGTGCCCACAGAGCAGGGCCATGCCCAGCTGCGCGCGCCTCGCCTGCAGAGCGCAGCGAGCGCCGCCCCCGCGCTCCGCACCAATTAGCCGGGGCAATTGCACCGCTGCCGGGCTGCTTCCCACGCAGCAGCCGGACTGGCCGCAGCGAAGCGCCGAGCAGCGAGGAAAGGGCTCAGCAAAGCAGGAATCCCGGGCCCTGAGATGCCAGTGCCGCTATGCCCATCCCTGCACATTGGGAGGCTGAGCTCCGCACGGGCAGGCAGCCCGGAGCCGGGGACAGGGTGGGACGGGTTGGGATGTGCTGGGATGGGGCGGGAAGGGGCAGGCTCTGCCCAGGGTGCCCCGCTCCGCTCCGGGGGTCCCGGGGTGAGGAGGGGGCGGCGCGGCCGAAACCCACCCGGCAGAGCCGCAAAGGCACCTATGGGGGGGGGTGCACATGCAAATGAGACGCGTGGGTGGAGCATAGCCCCCCTCCCGATATGCAAATGAGAATGCAAAGCAGAGGGACGGCGAGCGCCCTGCCGCGGGGGTGGGCGGGGTCTGCACGGCCTTCGTCCAGCGAAGGGGTGGGGCCTAGTATGCAGATAAGGGGAACGGGGCGGTGCCCGCTATGCAGATGAAGGGGCGAGGCTGCGTCGATATTCAGATGAGGGGCGGAGCGTCGCCCGCCATGCAGATGAGGGGTGGGGCGATGTCATATGTAGATTAGGGGGCGGGGCGTCGCCGGGTGTGTGTCGGAGCCTCCCGCCAGCTGCAGCCAGAGGTGCCGAGCGCAGCGCGAGCCGCGGCTCCAGCTGCAGCCGAGCGGAACCGAGCCGAGCCGAGCCGGGCCGAGCGGAACCGAGCCGGGCCGAGCCGAGCCGGACCGAACCGAACCGCGCCGGGCCAGCGGAAGCGGCGCTCGGAGCCCGCGCGCAGCATGGCCGAGCCCCCGGCGGCGCTGGCCCCCGAGGGCGAGGAGGGCCCCGTGCGCTTCGCCCGCAAGGGCGCCCTGCGGCAGAAGAACGTGCACGAGGTGAAGAACCACAAGTTCACGGCGCGCTTCTTCAAGCAGCCCACCTTCTGCAGCCACTGCACCGACTTCATCTGGTGAGCGCGCCGGGCCCCGGCACCCCCGCGGGGACCCCGGCGGGCCCCGGCACCCCCGCGGGGACCCCGGCCCCCGCGGAGCCGCCTCAAGCCTCCCGGTACCCCCCGGTACCCACGTACGCGTCCCCTTGTCCCCCGGAACCCCCCCGGTCCCGGTCATTCTGGGAATGTCCGCCCCCCCCCAGCCTGGCCCTGCAGGATGGTCCCCGCTTGCCCCAGATGCCCCAACCTTCCCGAGAACACCCCCCTCTCCCCAGCCCGGCCCCAAGGGAACCCCCTAGTCTGCCTCAGACCCCCCCTCCTTGGCCCGGCCCCACAGGGAACACCCCCACATGCCCGGGACTTGCTCCCTTACCCCCCCATCCTGGCCCCACGGGTTCCCCCCACCCCTTACAGCCCCCCTGGTCCCATAGAGCCCCCCAGCCTGTCCCAGCACGGACCCCAGGGTCCCTCTGCCCATCCCTGTGCCCGGGTGCCGGCAGGGCCGGTGCCGGTGCCGCTGACGCGGTGCCTCTTTCTCCACAGGGGCTTCGGCAAGCAGGGCTTCCAGTGCCAAGGTGAGCGTGCGCCGGGGCCGGGAGCGCCGGGCGGGGGGCAGCGCGGCCCCCGCCGAGCGTCAGCACAGCCGGGGGCGAGAGCCGCCGCGGCCGCACGGATCGCTCTGCCCCAGCCGGGAAGCAGCTTAGTCATTTTGGTAACCGACCGAGCGACGGGTCGGTGCTTTTAAGCTGATTGCTGGTCGGGTTTTGTTACTGGAGATAAATGGTGAAGGTTTCATACGAGCCCCCCCAAAAAACAAGATAAAGGGGAATTCATGGTTTTAGATGTGCTTAATATGTCCAGCTGTGCCCTCATGGCAAGGGGGGCCGTGCTGGCGGGGGCCAGCCTGGCGGGGCGGAACAGCTGGGTTGCGTTACTGGGGAAAGTGGGGCTGTGGGAGAAGGGAACGGAGTGTAAGGGGGTGTCTGGCATGTAAGAAACACGTAGGAAACCGTGTTGCAATATCCTCTAGCTTACTATAACCAAAATTCTTGCATTTTATTTGGGAAGGGCTTTTTAGGGACTTGCACTGTCCCCTCCTGAATGCTCTGCCCTCCCTTTACCAGCCTCCCGGGGCTGGTTTTGGCACCTGCATGTGGTGGTGGCCACGGGCAGGTAGCGAATCCCCAGTGTCACGGGCGTCACCTGGGCGAGGGCAGAGCCTGCGCTCAGGGTCGCGGCTCACAGGGACATCTGTGGTTGCTGGCACCGAAATCTTGCTCTTAAGAAGATATGGGGCAAAGTGTCACTTTGGCGGGTAGCCGAATCCCAAGATGAGGTGTTTTGCATGAGAATAAAAGCCCCTGTATAACTGTAATATCACAAGAACAGCGAGTCTTGGCAGACTCCGTTTGTGTCTGAACCAGCAAACAAGCCCCGCTGGATCACGGCGTGGCGCGGAGTCAGAAGGGAAGCCGGCGGGGCCGCGGAAGATCCGGGTCTCCGGGCGCGCTGGTTTTGCCCACCTTGCACCGGGCATGCGGGGCTGGAGCAGCTCCTGCTCTCGGGAGCATCCCTGCAGATGCTCTTCCAGGCAGTAAAATCCAGCCCAATCAAATCATCTCTGAATCATGCTGCTACTCATCCATAGCGCTTGCCACCTGCCTTGGGAGCGTGCCTTAAAATACCAAAAGCAGATCCCCACCAGGCATCCCAAAGGCCGGGCTGACGGCCTCGGCCGATGGCAAGGAGAGGGGAGCAGGGAGGAGGCTGGAGCGCGTCCTGGCGCAAGGTTACCCGCTCAAGGTTACGGTCACCCCGGCACCTGCTGCAGGTGCGGAGGTTTTGCACAGGGGCGGCTCCATCCTGGTACTCAAGGGAGCTCTGGGTCTCCTGGGGCTCTCGCTGCGATCTTCCTGTGTTCTCACAGCCCTGAATTTCCTTGAATGGTGCATGCAGCATCATGCTGGGCACATTTATACAAATAAAACGTCCCTGAAACCTTGAGTGCGCTAGAAAAGGCTGCCTGGGATCATCCGCTGCTGGAGCAGGGCTCTCCCTCTCTCTCTGTATAATTTCTGTTATTCTGCTCAGCTCTACCTATAGTGCTCAGTATCAGATAATTTGAGCCTTCCCAAGGTGTTTTTTTTTTTTTTTTTTTTTTTTTTTTTTTTTTAAAGCCATTAAGAACTATTGTCCAAACCTGTAAATGTGTGCTTGCCTCAGGGTTTGACTTCAGATATCTTTAACCAATATTGAATCAGTCTCCTATATGAGGTCAGTAAATGGGGCTCATAAGGATAGTCCCAGGCTTGCTAATGCAGGGCTGCCACCCTCCGAATGCAGGGACCTCCTCGCCTTGTATTAAACAGGGCAATCCTATCCCGGGATTTCTTGAAGCAGGAGTGTGCAAGAAGCTGAAGCACCATCAGTAGTTGATGTGCTGCACTCAGTGATGTTTCCAAAGGTGTGCGACTGGTCTATAACATGTCTTTCTACCTTAAGAAACCATTTTCAGTGATATTCTGGTCTTGCCAACCTGAAGAGCGTGTGACTGTGCATTGCCATAGCATGCTGAAATTCTGCAGGCTGCGGTACTTCCAAAGCAGGCCAGCTTTACCTTGGTACCTTGCTACAGGAGGGAAGTTCTGCGGGTTTTTCCCGTGGGTGCCGCGGCATGCCCGGGAGCGGTGCCGTGGGCGCGATGCGGGCGAGCGGCCGGCGTCCCGCGCGGGAGGCACTCGCCGTGCCCGCGTGCAGCGCCGGGCTGGGCGGGCGGGCGCGAGCTGCCGCGAGCCATGTGGTGCGAGCCGCGGCCTCCCGAGGAACAAGCGCTCCGGGCAGCGGAGTGGAGCGGAGGAGGAGAGCCCGGCGCCGCCGGCGCTGCTCCGCGTGGTGGGCACGCTCCGCACGGATCCCGTTGCACCAGGCTCTGCTGGCGCCGGGCGCCACAGTGTTCAGCCCTCGCGCTGCGGCTGCTGTTGCGTTTGCTCAATAAGTCGTGCCTCCGAGACCCGCAGCACCAGCTTTTGCCTAGGGGTTCGGTCTCATCAGCTCCAAGCCGGTGCTTGGGTACAGAAAGCCTTTCCCGAATATTTAACTCTCTCTTTGTTCACTACTTCACTCAGCTGAATGTGAAATGAAGGTTCAGTTCAACTTTAACAACTTCCCAGCCCTTTTATCCTCTTGTTTGGAGGGGATCCTGGAGCGCAGCTAGAACACTTGCCTGCCTCGTTTCTGGGCTGGCTGCTATTGCCATGTTTGCTTAAGTAGGTTTTCACTTGTGCCCTGATTTCTTTCTAGGACATTTTCACTAATTAGATTGTTAATTAGCTCATTACTTGTGACTTTCGTCAGGAAGTTTGGAGAAATTGGCTCCTTATAGCTTGAAATACTAATGGGTACCAGAAATGCCACTTAACTGCTAATCTCCTTTTCCTCGTATAAATCTTCATCCTTATCGGGCTGCTGTCCCGGGGGAAGGAGGCTCCATGCGTGCTGGGCACGGGGTCCGTGTACTGCCCCCGGGATCGGGGCAGATCCTGGCGGAATGTTGGAATTCCAAAGGTTTCCAGACTGTGGCTGCGCTCGGGATCCATCCCCGCGGGGCGGGCAGGCTGCTGCGTGGCCGGGCCCTTGCCCCGTGTCCCAGGACACCATCCCCTTTCCAGGGGGTGTGAGCAGGGACGGGGTGCCTGGCTATTGCGGGAGGGTTGTGGGTGGCCTCCAAGCTGCAGCCGGTGCCTTTGTTGTCTCCATCCTAAGCAGCGCCTTAGGAAAGATGAAAGGGAACGAGCTGGATTGAAAGCCCAAGAGAGCGGCCTTCCCACGTCTAATTCCCAGCAGGTGCCAATGCTGGGAGCTGGCAGCTTTCTCTGTGGATATTCCCCATGTGCCGCCCCGGGGTGTTTCTCCATTGCCGTGCATGGCTCGGTCTCCTGGCTGCTGCTGCAGGCCCGGGCGCTGCTTTTGCTGCAGGTTTGGGGATGAGCACAGGGAAGCAGGCTGACCCAACCTGGCGTTGTCAGCGGAGCAGCCGGGCCGCGTTTCCACCTTGGGAATTTGGGAGGAACAGGGGAAGAAATGCTCCCCGGGAGCTGAAGAGCCGTGGAACGTGATTCTCGCCGAGGAGCAAAAAATAACTTGCATCTGTTACTGCTTTCACGTGTGCCGAGTAATGAGAAAAGATCTTGGAGAGAAGATTTTGGCTCCTTAGGAGAAGGAGAGAGAGAGAAAAAAACGTCATTTAATAACAGATGCCTAGGGTTTGTACAGTAACTTTTTCGGGGAAACGAATGTTTCCTTCTTATCTCTAGTTACAACTGGGTAAGCAAAGATACTCTTCGAGCACTTCTCTTTCTAAACTTCCTACAAAAATATACTTCCCTTTTCCAGGTTTTCTTCCTCCCTTCCAAGGCCGCTCTACTTGTTCATTTAGTGCTTCCATCCGCGCTCGGCGGCGGAGCCCGGCGGCTGGAGGCAGGCGGCAGGACCTGCTGTTTTAGGCTCCCAACCCACCCTTCCTTCCCCCGCAGCTCTGCAGCCCTCCGTGCGGAAGTGAAACCCATCGCATTTGTGCCGTGGGGCCGCCGGCACCGCGCAGCCTTCCAGCGCGCCTTTATTGACTGTATTAAGCCAGCGAGAAACAAAAGCAAAACAAACTCCAATCATTCAGAGTTGCCTCAAACCCAGTAATTTCGTGTCAACATATTATGCACACTGGAGGAATGCTAGTGTTCAAATAGACTAATTAAAAATGTTACTGCAATTACTTTTGCAACACAAATGATGCTAATTATGTAATGCCGCAGAAATTGGAAACATAATTTTGGAGAGTTTTTTTGTGCGCCTCGCGGTGGTAGCGCGGCCCTCGGTGCCTCCCAGCCAGGTCTGCGGGCACGGGCGGCCGCTCCTGCGCGCCAGGGCTGCAGCTCTGCAGCAGGTAGCAATAGGAAGGGCAGGTTGTTGGGTCCTGCTCGCTGCGTGGACGCTCCGCAGCTTTGCAGGGCTGCGAGCAAAAGCGGGAACGGGAGCAGGTGCTCCCTGCGCTTTGCTCCAATGCCCAGGGCTCCCCCAAAGCCGGTTTCCGAGCCCAGGCTTGGGCTGGCTTCCCTCGTGCTGCTCTCGCTGCTGCAGTGCCGGCAGCAGGAGGCAGGAGGGGGATTTGGGGGGGAAGCTGCAGCGGGTGCCGCCGCGCGGGCCGGGCTATCGGGTTCGGCAGGGCCACCCGATCCCCTGGGCGCCCGGGTGTCTCCTTACGCGCCGCGCTCGGGCGCCGCGGGGGGAAGTGGTTTCTCCGCTCCCCTCCCCCTGTGTCTTCAGCTCGCCGGGGTTGTTCTCTCTTATCTGCTGCCGTAGCTGCCGCCCGCCGCGATGCGAGACGCCGATAGCGGAGCGGTCCGCGCGGCGGGGTGGGACACGGGAAGCCGGGAGCAGCGGGTCCCTCCCGCGCTGCGGAGCCTCCTGGTGCGGGCGGCACCGGGACTGTCCCTAAGGGCACCCCAACAGGCGAGGCAGGTTCCCCGGAGCTGTGCGGAGTGCGGGAGCAGGGAGCTGCCTGCACCCTGCGGGTGCTCGC